AGGTCTTTCCGGTTTTTGCCGACGCTGAGCTCTCGCTCGAGACCGTCTCGTCGCCGGCATGGCGTGACGGCCCGCGGGATGCCAGCCACCCTCTACTGGCGTACATGGCGGCGGCTTTCCCGTCGCAGATCCCGAACAACCGTCGATTCACGGATCTCTGGGAACACGATGAACTCACGCCCGACCTCAAAGTCGCCCGCATCGGCACTCTCTACGCCCTCCTCGAGCGCGGCCTCGCTCCATACTCCCCGGCTCGCGACAGCGTGGTTGACATGGTCGACGATCTTGCCGACCGCATCCAGGCCATTGTTCCCAGTTCACCCCTCCGCCCCTCACCCATGCCACCGCCACTCAATCCACCCGAGTTCCACCCGCTCCCTGACACTCGTGATGCGGTCATTAATGTCCTTCTTGGTGCGAACAACGTCTCAGTCGTTGGTGTCAACGGGCTCGGTGGCGTCGGCAAGTCGTCACTCGCTGCCGATGTCGCCATCCATCCCGCCATCACCTCGGTCTTCTCCGTCTTCTGGCTCCCTCTTGGTGAGGACAATACGTCCAACCCAGCTCTTGCCAGCCGCATGTCTTACTTTCTCAAGCAGGGTCTGAGCTGCACAGTCGATACTAAGGCCAACCTCGATGACCTCCAACCCATTCTTGCTGCCAAAACCCGGGCCCTCGCCAATGCCAGGACTCGCATCCTGCTCATCCTCGACGATGTTTGGACCACCCGCCAGGCCTCCGTCTTCACCAACCACATCGCAGCCCCGCATGCCGTCCTCGTCACCTCGCGTAACGCCGCTGTTGCTACCAACACCGCCTCCTCCATCAAGCTTGGCACCTTTGGCCCGGACGACGCTGATGTTGTCCTTCGCAACTACCTCGCCAAGGGCTCACCTGAGTGGGCAAATGCCCTTGCTCTCAACGATTCCCGCATCGTCTCCCTCGCGACCTTTTGCCGTGGCCATGCCCTCGCCCTCGCCGTCCTTGGCTCGTCCATTTCTAGCGAGGCTGCACTTGACGCCGCTGTTGCTAACTTTGATTCGGCCTCCA